AACCAAAAACTCTAAGGTGCGAAATATTTGGTTTATATCCCAAAGCAAATTGCATCTGCACTTGGCCTTATGCGAATTAAAGAAGCAGCGTGTAATATCGCATGGCCCCAAACACAAATTGATAGTTTTGTTCTCATGATTAATGCTCTAGCAATGAGCTGCAGTCTTTTAATTAATGATTCTGCTAAACCATTTTGTGTATGTACGTGAGCAACAGGGTGCTCAACAGTAATTCCAGTAGACATACAATAATCATTAAATGCTTGAGACGTAAATTCACCAGCATTGTCGAGTCTAACCCTTTTGGTTGCATAATCAGGAAATTGAGCTCGTAATTTTATAATTTGCGCCAGAAATTTTGTAAATGCAACATTCCAGGTTGACAGTAAACACACATGTGACCACCTATTAGATGCATCTATTAATACCATAAAATATCTGAATGGTCCACATGGTGAATGTATCGGTCCATATATATCACCTTGAATCTTTTCAAGAAACATAGGTGATTCATTCGGAATCTTTAATGGTGATGGTCTCATTATCAATTTTCCAAGAGAACAAGCTTCACATGGAATTCTATTACTCTGAGGGATCCTTTGTCCCTTTAAGGGATGACCATGTGTATTTCAATAATTCTTCGCATCATTATATATCCCGGGTGGCCTAATCTTTCAAGCCACAAATTCATTACAGAATGATCGAAGAATTTTTCTTTCATTGCCATACGTGATTCAATCACATTTATACATGTATAATGCAGACCATTAGAAAGTGACAATCTCTCCAATATTCTTGCCTTTCCCAATTCATAAATAATGATATTCAAATATGTCACATTGTCAACAGTCATTGATTGGGTGTCATACCCATTTCGATATATATCATCAAAACTCAATAAATTTCTTGTTGAATTTGGTGAAAACAGGATTTCATTAATCACAACTTGTGTTCCTTTTGGCGATGTGATATTGGCTTTACCAATCCCTTCAATCAAATCTGTTGGACCTGATATTGTATACACAATCGCCTTTGTTGGCTTTAACTCTAAAAAATATTCTCTGTTTTTCAGAATAGTATGTGTAGTGCCACTGTCTGCAATACAAAAATCTCCAACATTGCTTTTCTGTCGAATTTCCATGTCAAAACTTCAAACAAAAAAACAATCAATCAGTTATTATTAAGTAGAAAACATTAAAATTAAAAGTCACAAATTAAAACATAAATATTATCACAATTATCAAGTTCATACTCTCAAAAACATAATGTCATACATTGATTCATAACATTATAAGACCATACAATGATCATTATTATGATTGCAATATCAAGACTACTCATTCAAACATACACTCATACATTTATACCATACACTTTGCACAAGGATCATACACCGATCCATTATTATTACAGCATCAATATCACACACTTAGAAATAAGGATCATACATCGATCCATTATTATTACAACATTAAGAGTCATACATAATTTTAACTTCATACTGGTGGGACAACTATTTGCCCAGCAAAGTCTTCATTGAAATCCAATGCATTCAAGTTTGTAGCATTATCCACTTGTTCAATAAGGTTTGTTTCCTTCTCTTTTCCCTTTGATTAGCTATAGAGTTGGCAAAGATGTGGTGTTATTCAGCAAACACGTGCCCAATGTCCTGTACTACCATATCAGAAACATTTGGTCTCAACCTTCTTCTGCTTCTCAAGAATATTTCCTTTATTCACTTTCTTTTTCTGGAATTGGGCCTGTGTTTCTTGTGGAACATAACCTTTTGCATGATTACGACCAAAATTATAGTTTCTTCCATGTCCACGACCGCGGCCATGGCCACAACCACAGCCACAGTTATTGTATTTTCCAAAATTACTTGGCCCAACAGCATTTGCTTCAGGAAATACTATTGACCCCGTAGGACGAGATTGATGGTTTCTCATTAATATTTCATTATTCTTTTCAGCAACCATAAGTTTAGAAATGAGTTCATAATACCTTTTAACATTCATTAATCTGTATTGGTGCTGCAAAACAACATTAGAAGCATGAAATGTGGATAATATTTTCTCAATTATGTCTGCATCAGTGACTGTTTCTCCACAGTATCTCAACCGAGAGACTATCCGGAACGGTGCCGAATGATAGTCAGTGATCCTTTTGAAGTCCTAGAATCGTAATGCATTCCATTCTTCTTTGAGGGTTGGAAGCATCACCTCAAGTTGGTGATCAAATCTTTCTTCAAGATCCTTCCATAAAATTTTGGGATCTTTGACTGATAGACATTCACTTTTAAGAAAATCATCAAGATGTTTTCGAATAAAGATCAATGCCCTTGCCTTTTCTTGGGCAGTGGCATCATCTTCTGCTATCGTTCTCAGAAGACCCAATGATTCAAGATGCATTAATAAGTCAAGTTTCCAGGATATGTAGTTGTCTCCAGTGTAAGTGAGAGCATTGAATTCAAGCTTTGACAAGTTTGAAGACATAGTTCTCTAGTTAACAAAAGAGAATATAATTAAAGTTTTATTCCATAAATCAATAAAGAAAACTAACAATTTTCAGTAAATATAGCAATGAACAACAGGGGTAAAATACATATTATAAGTACCCTAAATGGAAAGTAAAATCTATGCCTTCTAAATTAAATACAAAAAAGGTATGTATACAAATTAATAATATGAAAAAGAGAGAAAGGAAAGACATGTATTTTTCTTTAAGAAATTAAGAAGAAAAAGAAGGAGAATATTGTGAAGGTGTGTAAATGAGATTTAGAAATGAGGTATTTATAGGAAAAATTTTAGAATTGAGTCGTTATGTATCCGTTAATTTTCGTTGAATATAGCCGTTATATACATACATATATTATACGTATATAATCGTTGTGAAAAACCACTTTTGAAAAATAAATTAATTAAGCAGTTTGAAAATGTAGAAAATATATAAAATCATGTCGTGAGTTAAATCATAGACTATAAATATGCAAGTAGTCTAAAGTTTTCATATTATATGATAAATTTGTGACTAAAATAAACTTCCTTTCAATAATAAAAATGAATACTTACGTGGGGTAAAATTCCATCCACAGTAGCAATAAATAATTTCATGGGGTGAAAACCTTTCCATGTTAGCAATAATAATAAGTAATTGTGTCGGGTGAAAACCGATCCATAGTAAGAATAACTATGCGGGGTGAAAACCAATCCACACAGTAAAATTAAATCCATCCCACAATAGCAATAAACATAAACGATTATGTGGGGAAAAATCCATCCACAACAAAATTAAATGAGAATTAAATAGCTACGTAGGCGAAAAATCCATCCCACAATAACAATAAACATAAATGATTATATGGGAAAAAATCCATCCATAATAAAATTAAGATTAAGTAGAGAAATTTTACCTTCGCTGACCATTGAGCATTCGTGCTGATAACGTGTTCAAAAACTAATGTTCAGTACAATGTTCCAAGCAAAGGTTCCAATAAATTATTAGGAGATGATGTATTTTATTTATATAACTTCTCTACTAGAGACTTTAATATAATAATTCAATAATAGTTCAAACTTTAAGAAAAGAAATGAAGGCTAAAAAACTAAGAGAAGATTTACCAATATGATTTGCATAATGAGGGAGAAATACGGGAAAAGAAATAGGCTAAAACTTTGTATATAATTTTTCTTTTTTTTTTTTGTGCAAGTTTTACTACTACGTATACCTCTTATTTATAGCCATCATCTAGTGGCAATTTTGTAAATAAGTAGTAGTTATCAAATCAAAATACTATACATGGATAGTTTCCCTTGCTTGATGCATACTCATATTTTAAGTAAAATTTTGTCATTCACATTATTCATAACAAGAAAAGTCTTTTAGGACAAAGGAAAAGAAAAGAAGAAGACATTTGATAAGTAATGATATGTTGGATTTTCTTGTGCCACAAAGAATGGAACGTTGAGCCCAGGAAAGCTACTGCTTCAGTAAACATCCATAGTACTTAATTAAAGCAGCAAACAAAAAGAACACATGTCAGCTCTACAATGAAAATTTTCCCTCCAAAAGGCTTTTTTAGTACAAAATGAAAACTGACAAGTGGCGCTCTAGATTTTCATAAAAAATAAGATGTAAGCAATTATAAAATTTGCATAAAAATTTATATATATATATATATTTATGCTGGAAATCCATGTGCAGTTAATTTGTACCAATCAATTAGGGATATAAACATGCATCCCATGTATTTCGCAATTGAACCACTAAATAAGGGATGTAATCACGCATCCCTTCTAATTTGCAGTTTACTGAATCAAAATTATCCTATGGATATATACAAACGTATTTACCGAAAAGTTAATTTCATAATAGTAAAATAAGTAATATTACATAAATTACTATTTATTACAATACTGGACAATGCAAAATGACCACTTTACAATGACGTCCATGATCCATTCCCTAAAATCTTACAGTTTTACGCTGTCGTTAAATCTAATTCCTGTAATCAGAGTTCAGAAAAAGCAATGATATGATTTGGAAATCAATATTTCAAAAAACAATCAATGATATTCAAATCATGAAGATAATTATGGCTACATTTGATGATTGATTTATTTATCAATATCTGTAAAACAGACTGTATGTATATCTTACCTCCAGTTTTGCAGGAACCTTCAAAATCAATGAGATATACTTACCTTTTTCTAAATACGTGCACAAGGATTCTATCATCTCCACCAAAACCTTTTTTCAATATCCAATAGAGCAGGCAGAAAATACCATCACTCAGAAAACCCTAATCATGTATGTAGCACAGAAAACAAATGAACCAGTGGACAACCAAAATACCACATCTCAGAAAACCCAACCCATGTCTTAGTGCCATACATTATCTATATAAATACGTTCACAAGGATTCTATCATCTCCATCAAAACCTTTTTCCAATATCCAATAGAGCAAGCAGAAAATACCATCACTCAGAAAACCCTAATCATGTATGCAGCACAGAAAACAAAACAGGATGTGGTTAACCAAAATACCATATCTCAGAAAACCCAACCCATGTCTGCAGCACACAAAACAAATACCCCTGTCTATGAAAGTGCCATGATTGGTACTCATGATCCTGTTTATACAGATCATGAACTTGAAACATATGCAACTGATGTTGCCGCATTTGTGGAGGGATCAGTCACCTCTGTGGTCCAACCTCATGAGAAGACTCCTGCTGGAAACCAAATTGCTGAAGGTGACAACTACTGTTGTTGCTCCTCATGTCCCTATTGTTGCTGCACAAAGGTATATTGCGGACATCAATGGGTTGATTCCAACCAAAAGCACCCATTTCAACATCGTCGTTCATGTGATGACCATCTGGAAAATGTACGAAACAAAGGAAAAGAAAAATGTCAGATCTGTTGAGTTGGCTTTGATTGATGCTCAGGTATTGTTGTCGTTTTTATGATTTAAAAATTTATTCGTGAATACATTACTCTATAATTACATTTAAATTAATTACATTAAATGAGTTCATATATTTGTCATACAGGGATCAAAAATTCAGGCTACTATACCTGGTAGAATGATGAAGGATTTTATGAAATATTTCAAAGATGAAGGTGTTTGCAGGAGGCTATCGCGCTTTGATCACGGACTTAATATAAGTGGAGGTTACCGTTGCTCCAAACACGAGTATAAAATTGTGTTTGGATCTGACACACTGGTTGAATCAGCTGTTGATTTAGAAATCCCTAATCATGTTTTTGAATACACTCCATTTGCAGAAATCACAAATTTCGTAGCAAACTTTGACTACTGTTTTGGTAAGGATACATTATTATATGCTTTAGGCATATATTTCCGTTGGTTATATATATGTGAATTATGTATGTTTCATAACAACTAATGGATTAACATGTAAAATCTACTTTCAGATTTGATAGGACACATCATTGGTTTCAATGATCCTATTATTGAAAATGGGAAAAAAAGAATCTCTGTTGAACTAGAAGATGAAAGTTAATCATTACTACATGGGTACTTAAGATATATTTTTGAGTGTTTTACCAATTTCCAGTATATTACATACATATATGAATGTAATAAAATTGTATGTATATTTACAGAGCTGATACATTGAAGGTTACTTTGTGGGATGAAGACGCTGATCGTGTTCTCAACTGTATGAATAATAACCCTGAATATCCTGTGGTCATGATTGTGCAGTATGTAAAGTGCAAAAAATACTATTGTAAGTTTCTTAAAAAAATACATACTCATAGATTTTAGCTATTATGTTAGCTATTATGGCAAATCGAGATTTTTATGATTAAAACCCCTTTCTGTTTACCTACAGCTAAGGTTTCGGCTACAACGAATCTTTACAATGGTAGGATATATCTCAATGATATGACCATTCCTGATATATACGAGTACAAACACAAGTAAACTTAAATTTTCTGAAAATACATATAACAGTTTAAAAATGCTGACCTCCTAAAACATGCTTAGTATAATTTATTAATGTCCAGTATTATTTTTAAATATTATTAATTTTGTAGGATGGAACAAGATGAGATCAAGGGTGCCAGTATCAACAAGATTTCACTGCTCTCATCCATTTCAGGGTATACATCATTTGAGGACTTTGTCCATGATGCTGAGATGTTAACTTTGTCTGGGATTTCTGAATTGGACCAGGTAATATGTTGTTTGTATACCGTATTATGTAACAAAATAATATATATACATTAATTAATATATTCGCCTTTTATTTTTACAGGCTTGCAACGTTGTGGTATTTGGTAAGATAAGTGGTTTAGCAAAGGAACATGGCTGGTCATATACAAGTTGTAATATTTGTAACAAGAAGGTTTTGAGATTGAAAATGCTGACAAGTTCAACAGTGGTGGAGGGAATAAAAAGACACCTCTTGGCAAGGGTAGAAAGACAGATACTAGAAAGGCTATTGGATGTGACAAAAAATGGATGTGCAGTAATCATGGACCGGTTTCGGCTGTTGCCCCAAAGTAAAAAAAAAAACACGACTAAAGATTTTATATTGATTATGGGTTTTACTTACAATTTTTTTGAAATTGATTTATTACACAACTTTAAAAACATATCCTGATGAATCTACTTCAGATTCAAACTACAGGTATACGTAGTTGATGGATCATGTAGCAGGGTTGCTACACTTTGGGACAGAATGGTTTATTATTTCATAAACAAAACTGCTACCGAACTACGTGAACATGTATACTTTAAATTACACAACAAAGCTTAGTTAATTGTCAAATGTATTGCATTTATAATCAGAAAAACCAGTTGTTGTCTACTGTTATGGGATTTATATTTTTTATTTTAATAGGGAACTGATGATTACCCTGAGATTCTGGAAGAGATAGTTGGAAAAAAATGTTTATTTAGGCTGGATGTATCTAATTACAATATTAGGAACATCACCAGTGAGATATCTGTTGCCAGAGTTACTACTGATGCAGAAATAATCAAGAAATATCTTGATGTTGTTTCTGATGATCAGGTAATCTATACAAGTATAATAATATAATCGATTTGCAATGTTGGAATTATAGTTTGGTGACATCATTTTTTTATGTTCCAGGAAATTGATCCAGATTTAAGTTCAGAATTCTATCCCAATGTTACACCAACTCAGTATAGCACTGCTAAGGTATTTTTTATGTTTATTTCCTACATATTTAACACGAAGTCTATCATAAAAAGTATTTTCACATTTGTTGATTACTTATTATTATAAATAATTTCAGACAGCTATTTCGTGCACTGACGAAACTGAGTTGGGATTACCTGGAGATGAATCAGTTGATAGCCCTCCTCCAAAAAAGTCTACATCTGCACATTATGGTGAAGAAAGTGTGAAGTCTTGTCCCAGCAAGCGTGCCAGGAAGCTCTGATCAAACTGAGAAATCATCAATTTTCTGTTTTCAAAATAAAGGATTCATCATTGGAGTTTAGATGTTTCCATTTTCAGAATATACATTATTTTTAGAACTTATCATGTTTTCTTTGTGATTTTCTTGGAACAGTTTCTTTTTAGGTTTATGAACTTTGATTATTGTCAGCTTTTCGTAAGACATGTCTTATGATGCAGGTGTTATGATACATTGGAATTTTTTTCCATCCAGCAATTTGAATAAATATATGTTGTCTTTATTGTATTGAATGTGCTGACGTAACAGATTTAAGATTACCTGGACATGAATCACCTGACAGCCCTTTTGCAAACAACTCTACACCTGCACATTGTGGTGAAGAAAGTGTGAAGTCTCATTCCGGGAATTCTGCCACGAAGCTTTGGAAAAGAAAAAAGTACATCATATTCATGGTTTCACAACAAAGGAAAGATATGTAGAGTTTAGTGGTCACCTTATCATCATTCCATATATACTGAAATGGAACACCTTATTAAAAGTGTTTAAATACATTGTTAGTTTCAGTCTTTATCATTTTAAACACATGTTATGATGAAATTGTTATGATACATTTGAGGGATGTTCCATCCTGTTATTTGAAATTCTTTCAATTTTTCTTTGTTATATTATTAAATCTAAGTTGAAATCAACTAAATTGTTTTCAAACTCTATATATAAAGTAAATTGTTAACTATTGACCCACATTAGTAAAAATTAATTTATTTCCACAAACATTTCCAACATTACTGTGTACAAATTCATGCCAATCAAATCTCATATCCTGAAAAAATGATATGAGATAGGGGTTGATTGGTAGCTTGTAAGACGTAAATAATTGAAACTGTAAATACAGTTTCATGAATGGGTTATATTTACAATCAATTACTTAAAATCACAGATAACTGAAAGTGTTGATTCCAAAAAATATGCTAATCATCACTTTTTACATGGAAGATGTATAGTTGCCTTTAAAAAATGATCCCTAAAAGTTTGCTAAATTGAATCCTTAATTTGAAGATGTATAATTTCCTTTAAAGTGGATGTATATACAGAGATTCAGTCCAAAACGAAGTAGTCTAATAGACTCCTAACTAATAGGGGAATTGAAAAGATATAAGTACAGGATAAGCACTCATATTCACATATACCCCAATCTTATTCGTCAAAAATAAATAATCAAGTAACAGGTCAATAGTTTTCATAAGGATAACAGGTTCAATCTCAGGGGACGTGATGGAATATGGGTATGATCAATTGGTGAAGGTTCCAGCAACCATCCGGATTAAAGGTTTGGTAAGTGTATAATAACATCCAAAATAGTTTTTAATTACAATCATACATATGGTTTTGTAATTTTTAGATTCCTGTAGATACTTAGCAGTAATCTCACCGCGAATTTGAGACATGTTGGCCAACAAATCAGGATTGAAGCTCCTGGAATCCGGAATTTTTATGCAAACATGCATATTAATAGGAAAAACAGATGTCAATTATATGGATCTGCACTAGAGCAATTCTTTTCATCCACTGGTGTATCTCCTGGATGTAAGATTCATATCGTCTATCATAAAGCTGGTAATATGCTGCATTTTTTACTGTTTGATCACATCGGATTCCAACGACTTTCATCAGAACTAACTGCAAACTATGGTCATCGGTACCTTATGGAGTTAAACCCTAACAATTCCAGTCGATGTGTAAGTATAACTTATATAATTGTAATTGCTTTTTCTCATTTGTATTTTGAAAACATAATTAAATTGATTGTGGAAATGATATATGGTTTTCAATTGTAGGTTATTAACACCTAATACTTTAGAGCTATAGGTTGGCCTTCTGATCAAACTGTTTCAATGGTGATTGATGATAATCACAAACAGTGGAAATTCCAGATATATACACAGCATGACCATCCTATAGGTTTTGAAGGAAGAATGTGGGAAGAATTTCATGACCTCTTTTTTAACCATATACAATGTGTTAATGTGATGGCACAAGATCAAACAGAACTATGAATGTTGTCTACAAGGAAGCTCTTCGCAATGTTAGTTAGAATTTTATTTTTATTTCATCTTATTTTACACCATATTAAACTTTATTATTCTTCAGATTAACCATGGTTATGATAAAATTTTCCCCATTGATGGCTTTTGGTTTATGATTTTTATTTCCAGTTACACATTATGAAAAGTGCGACTGTTAGCTAGAACATATAACATCTACTGTTATTATACAATTAGGTTTGTATCAATACTTCATCCCTTATGATTATTTCTTTCAGTAAATCATTGTTATCATAAAAACATAATTCCAATTACACATTATAAACAGAAGTCATTACAATAAAAAAAAACAAATTAAATGTATTGCAATCTCAATACTGATTCAAAGTAAAGTGCTATGTATGGTAACTTACCTCCTCAAAAAAGCTGCTTCTTCAGATTATCGGAATGGAAGATGATTTATATTCCATAATCGTACTTTCAAATGCATCCTTCTTCAACGACATTCTATATTACACAGAATTGCCGGATTAGTTAAATGTAAGATATTTTTTCAGTCAAATTATACAGATACATTAAAAAATTATAAGCAATTAGTACAAATTAAAGTCGACACATACCTGTTTAAGGATTGAAGAAATGATAATCTTCAATACTTCCAAAAGAATCTTCAAACCTTTCAGAAATCATTCGTCAGCAAGTTTCGAAACAAAACCCACGACCTATATCACCATTTATTGAAACTGTATCTACATTCCCAACCAAAACTCGAATCGTAGGAAATCGGTTTGACGGATAATCGATGGTCTCCAATTTGAACTAGATCTGTTGGATTGAAGCAGAAAAATTCAAACCTCCATATGGGTTTCTAATAAGATTAACAAACAGAAATTGAGGAAAGTGTTTGCCAATCGGATTAAAATTGTTGCCTTCCTTGAAAAATTCCAATCATACATCTAGCTCACATTTTGAAAGACTAAAATCTGATGAAAGAATGAAAATTTGGGATAGTCCAGCAAGGCGGAGCTTTCTAGATCTGTTTCGAACACAAAAGATATGGAAAGTTAATGACTGATGCGAAATGGAAAGTATACTGTTTAATTTAGCAGTTTTACTTTTAAACCTCATTATACCATTATACTTATATTCCAACCCCAAAATTTATAAAACTTGACAAATGTACCTTCAAATGATGAATATATCAAATTTGCAGAAATGTCCCTTCAATAATTCTTTAATAATACTTGAATTATAATAATAACCATTACAATGTTAATAACCTAAAATTCTTATGGATGACATGATCTAATGAGAACTTGGATTTTAGTGCAACAATAAACTGTATTTCTATTTATAATGTTTTATTAACTATTTCAATTTCAGATATTACATATATGCCTTACCATATTTTAATAAGTATCTGTTATCCATGCGTATTTTTTTTAAGACTCTACATTAAATAATAAAAGTATAAAATAAACGTGTTAATAAACATAATTTTTACAGGCGAGCCCGGTCTTCCGCCCGGGCCAAGTATCTATTGTTAGTTATGATAATAAAATATATAACGTGAGGTTTTTTATTATTTGCTTTTTATTCCAATGCAATATATTCTTTTTAGTTATACATTATTTTATTGAGCAAGCTTGCCGGGGTATTCGTATGAGATAAGTTATTATTATACTAATATCAATATATTTTATTACAAATATAAATTCTAAGAGATCGCCCGGACATCCGCCCGGGCCAAGCATCTAGTTTAAATTAAAACACAAGACGATCATGCGCATGCAAATTTTTTTCATCCAAATGGCCAGGCTAAGCACACCACCACAAGTTGCTTGATTAGTTAAGGTTATTTACTTATTTCGGCCCTCAAGTTGTTGCATTAAAGGATTTATAAAGAATATTGGCAATTGATATATGGTTTGTTTTTTATCTCAATTAACGCTTCTCCATTCTTATGTTATGCCTCCTTCCTTAAGGTACAAGGGTTTTAATCAAGAGCCTTGTTACACTGGAAGTGTAGGTACAATATTCTTCTCTGTATTGTTTCAAACTAGCTAGATTAGAGAAATTACTAAATACCATGAATAGTTTGCTATACCATTATTTGGTTTCTGATTTATAACATAACACTTTGCATTTATATGGTATAGCAAACTAGCCATGGTATTTAGTATGGTATTTGGTTTCTGATTTATAACATAACACTTTGCATTTATATGGTATAGCAAACTATCCATGGTATTTAGTAATTTCTCTAATCTAGCTAGTTTGAAACAATACAGAGAAGAATATTGTACCTACACTTCCAGTGTAACAAGGCTCTTGATTAAAAACCTTGTACCTTAAGGAAGGAGGCATAACATAATATATATATATATATATAGAGAGAGAGAGAGAGAGAGAGAGAGAGAGAGAGAGAGAGAGAGAGAGACGTTGTTTTGGGTTGATTTCCATAATGAATGGGGAAACGTATCATGCTATTATTTTACAGGAAATGGCCCACAAATATTTTCCTATTCAGCTTTTTGCTGGCTGGTTGCCTAAGAAACTATTAAATCTATACCTGAAATACCTAAGATGTCTTTTTAAAAAATAATCAGGGTAACTATAGCGAAGAGATTAAGCAATATGTCCTGATGCGCTATATTAAGAAAACTAATTAAAAATCCTTTATTCATGCAAGCATTTTCCTTTGAAAATTTTTATGAAGTTCTGCTATGAAAGTACCTCAATTGATTAGTCATGCTTCATAAACATAATCAAAAGCTAGCTATAATATACTTTTAGGATAGAAATAAATAATTGGTTTGTTAGGAAACTAATACTATGTCCGCGCTTAGCGCGGCTTATCAATTATGGAAAAATTTTGATAGATTGTATATTTTTTTCGGGATTAATTTTAAAATGGGATTCCATAGTTGAGGCAAGTTTATAGAGAAGTTAAATTTGTTGATTGTATCCTGAATTTAG